TCCCAGTAAGATCTCATTTTGCACATCATAGAATCCCTTTTGTCATTTTGAAATGATCCAATACATGTGCAGACTTACTTTCAGGTTTTCAGAGTATTATTTGCAATTCAAAATATCACTTTAAATGATAGCTCTGACTCTTAAAAATTCCCTGGAGAAAGTTCATATGCTAGAATATAGAAAGGTTTATAATTTGACAGTCTGAATTTTTTTTTATATACATCACTCAATATTTTCTGGCTTGCTTAAAATTTAATAAATAAGATAAGAATATCACTTAATTGCATGGCTGTTTGTATTTTAATGTCTGCTTGCTTGCAAATTGGCAGATGTTCACGTCAATGATGAAGAATTTGAGCCCAGAGACGATGGCTAACATGAGTGAACAATTTGGAATAAAACTTTCTCAAGAAGATGCAGCGAAAGCTCAGCAGGCCATGTCATCTTTATCACCGGAGGACTTAGATAAAATGGTACCTTCTTTTCCATGTTTACTTTCAATGAATTTGCATACTTGTCGTTCAAAATTTGCCAGCAATCTTGTGCAAGTTGTTATCTATAACATTTAAAGAAAATGTTAGGTAGAGTTTTCTCTCCCTTTTAACCGTGCTTTCGCTTTATTTTAGTTGCATGTTTGTTCTGAAATAACGGTCAACAAGGTTTAGAGTTATGGCCATTCTTTTTATCACTGCCCCCACTGCATTACGAATGTAAAATTATTCTCCCATGGATTGCTGCAGATGCGATGGGCTAATAGGATCCAAAGAGGAGCGGAAGGTGCAAAGAAAGCAAAGAACTGGTTACTGGGGAGACCTGGTATGATTCTTGCTATTTGTATGTTGATCTTAGCTGTTATCCTCCGCTGGCCAGGCTTCATCGGGAGGTAGAGCAGGAACATTTTTTGTACATCATTGCGATGCCCTAATTTAACGTTCATGGGGGCTAATTATCTTCGAAACATTAATTGTATCTTTGACGCAAGGACAGGAAAGTAGTGCTAAAATGAGGTTAGGGATGGAGGGAAAACCTTGAGGATGAGGAGTTAAAGAGGGGGTCGGGAGGGAAACATGTACTCGACTATTCATTGGGTAAATAAGACGGTTTACCCGTCACTTATTTTGTACGTCAATTCTTCATCAATGCATTGTTTGATCTGTTGGAGCTTTCGGATTTTACATGGTGGAGTTTTCTGAGGAGATAAGAATTCCAAAGTCAAAAAAAGGAGAAGGGAGATCCAGACTAATTGGAAGTGACGTCAACAACCTTTATTTACACGACATGATAAGCACAATCAGACGTGCAAGATTTCAATTTCAAGGATATGAAGTTCGTTGTCGGCAATCCACTTAAGCAGTCGTTCATTTGAAAAATAATAGTTTGGGAAAGTACTCTACTCTCTAAAAGTTTGAGCGTAAAGACAGAGGGAAAGCGCCATTAACTACTACTATTTAAAGGTTTGTCACTCCTTTTTGCGATGCTTGAACTCATGTTCTTTTCAGTGTGTTTAAAATATATTTTTATTTTTTTCACATTAGTTTGTTAAAATCATTGGAAAAGATTAAAAAAATCAGTTTGAATACCTTTTCATGCTCAAACTTGCTTTAAACATGCTCAAACAGGAGTAAAATACCAACCAGCCTCTTTTCCGAGAGCTTTTCCTCTTAAAGGTGTGGATTTAGACCATAAACTACAATACTTTATTCATTTCGATCCTCTCCATTTGTTTCAATCAATTTGTTGTTGGGGATGATGGTGAATTGCACCATCGTGACTGTTTAACTAGAACAACTGAAAATTGAAAAAAAAAATGCGTAAATTCAAAGGGAAAATCGAAATATAATTGTATGAGACTTGGAGAACAAAGGCTAGCTATGAGTGATTTAACAAATAGCCTAATATAGGTTTTAAAAGAAAAGGTAGAGAAATAAAAGCTATAATAAAAAGCCTTTATCAATATGGGAATTATTATGGTTTCCACCATTCTAACGCCTTGTTACCTTATTTTTTTCCTTCAAAAAAGTGTTGTTTTCACGTACAAGTTAACACACCCTTCTTCTTGTATGAAGGTATCCCTCTTGATAGCAATAATAAATAATGATTTGACTAATGATCTTACGACTTTTTAGCTCAGTTCTATCCAACGCACCGAATAAATGAAGGATAAAGAGAGAGAACCTAAAATGAAGATTTTTATTGGTTAATCGTTATCATCCATCACCATCCGCAGGCACCGATTCCTCCATGGTTCACTGCTCGTTTACAAAGATGACAATTTCATCTCAATTTGATGGATGCTGATTTGAATGGAAGATTTTTTTTCATATAGAATTACTTTAGATGATGGATAATTACATGAATTTATTTAACCTGAGGTAAATCATAGATTATTACAAGTAAGATGGTGTTTGGAAATATGGTTGATATTATATTTTTTTTTAAATAATAATTTTTTAAAAAATTAGTTTTTATTTTTATTTTTTAAATGGTTTTAATGTCATGATATTAAAAATAATATATTTTTTTTTAAAAAATACAGATATTTGAATCACACATGAAACAACTTCCATCTTGGCTACAACTTTGAATCCAAAACCTTGAATATGAAGCTGTCCTGCCAATCCTGAAAAAGAATAAAAAAAAAAAAACTGATGGTTTTGCAAAGCACCACCAACTCATGAAGAAAGATCTTCGTGGCCCAGGAACTATTACACCAACTCACCTCACTATCATTGCCGCCACCCTGCCACGACACCACGCCACCTCTAGTTGGGCCGGGAAATTCATCCTCATTTGCCGGCAAAATAATTTAAACAAATCATTTTTAACTTGTAAATTTTGATTTGGGCAATGGCTAAAATTTGGCGTTGCCATAAGAATATAGTTTTTTCTAAAATTTAATTTTTTAAAAATTAATTAATTATATTTTTTTAGTATTTTTGAATATTTTAATGTTAAAAATAAATTTTAAAGATTAAAAAATATTATTTTAATATATTTACAAATTAAAAAACGCATCAACATGGAGCGCACTCTTCAACGGTCATTATCTCTGTTACGTCACCGCTTGAGTTGGATTTTGACTTGATGATTAATTAATTGATTTTGATTTCTGGCCACCTCAGTTTTATTCGACGTCGTCTTCAAACTTCTGAGCTTCACGTTTTTTTGTTTCTTAAGCGCAGGGCTGAATATAGCTAATCACGTAGGCCTGTAGGGTGCCTCTCGGACCCTCACCTCCAAATATTCTCTGGCGATAGTCAAATTTATTTTTATTTTTTTGTGGTTTTCGCAGGGAGGCTTGCTTGGATACAAGAAGAGGAGGAGGCTGATGAATGAATAAATGAGCTTTAAATATATAAAATAACTAAACAAGAACTACAAGCTCTCTCAGCCTGAAATTATAAATTCAACCACGGCCACCGAGAAAAAAAAGAAATCAAATATCAAATCAACAAAATAAAAATTAAATAATATTAATAATAAGAAGTGGTGAGTGAATTCACTAGTTAAAGGGTCCCGGAACAATTGAGAGCTTCTCTTGACTCGTTTCTTTGTATGCTAGCTCTCTCTATTATGCTTTTTAATTCAATTCACTCCCAAGCTTCTTCCTTCTTTTCACTCCTTTTTATCTCCAGAAAGAAGTAATTTTTCTTGAAAGTGACCCTGTCGAGAAGAATTTTCATCAACTCCCTTGGTCTTAATTAGCAATGGGATGATTGGATTTTTTCGGAGCCTTGTTTTTATATTTTAAAAATATTTTTTAAAAATTTTAAATTATTTTACTTTAAATTATTATTTTTTGTATTTTCAGATCATTTTAATGTGATAATATCAAAAATAAATTAAAAATTATTATTTTAATTCATTTTCAAGTAAATTTTTTTTAAAAAAACAACTATTATTATACTATCAAACTTATTTTATATATGAAGACAGTAAGCTCGCAACAAATGAATATGAAATTATAAATTATAGATCATAATAGAGGAAAAATCTAGGATTTATTAATAATAGAAACATTTCACACCTCAGGAATCTTTGAAGAGATGCACAAACCACTTGTGATACGAAAATCTTCACCTGAAGATGAATTAGGTTTAATTTAAACTTCAAACTCTAAAACGAGGATAATATTTTGTACATTAACGAATCCTTTTTCATTTTTATATGAATTGACTTTAAGATTGTGAATAAAATGAAATAAAGTTTGAGTCATGGATTGCTTTACTCAAACACATAGAAGTCACCAAGATCAAGGATGTCGATTTAATGGATCGTTGACTCTAACTAGTAAAGACTAGATTCCGATAAAAAAAAATATAAAGATGTTTTTTTTTTACTTTTTTTTTAATCCCATTTTATTAAATGGATTGTTATTAGTCTGGAATAGATAAAAAGAATTAATAAAAAAATACTGAACAAGCTAGTTTTGAACATGCTCATGGACTTATCATAGATACAAACCTATAGGTGAAGTGCGTGCTAGAAAGTTAAGAATGCTACTTGCAATTATTCTTATATTCTATTGAGAATTGCATTCTAAAACTTTAATTTTTTTTTTGTATAAAGTTAATTTTTTTATATTTTTAGATTATTTTGATGCTTTAATGTAAAATAAATAAATAAAAATATTATTTTAATATATTTCTAAATAAAAAATACTTAAAAAAAACACTTCATACTCTCAAACACATGGAAATAAAAAGGAAAAGAAAAGGAAAAAGAAAAAATGACATAGATAGAAATACTATCATTTTTAATAAATTAATTTGTCCCCATCATTTATTTATTTCTATTTAAAATAAATTTAGAGAATAACTACTTATCCTTGCTCTTTAAATTCTCAAAATCTTCTCCTGGAGAGGCCATATCAAATTTGATAACACCCACCCACTGTCCATAAATAAAAACCATAAATATTAATTTAAATTCACCACCAAAAAAATAAATAAATCTAGTTGTAAGTTAACAACCACGTAATTTGATCATTTCGGCAGCCTTCCTTTTCCATGTTTTATAAGTGGCTCGGAAAAGACCAAACCTTTATTGATAAAAGAAATACACAGAAAAAATCTCATCGAAACACAACAGAAACCTCTTCGTGTCCGCGTTTGAAAGAAAAAAAAAGCCCACCCCTTTACTCGCCTCGCCTCTCGCTTCCTATCCCCACTTAATCGATTCCTTATTAAATACCTCCTCCCTCCTCCCTCCTCCCTCCTCTTTGATCTATTTAACCTCTCTAGGAAACCCAACGGGGAAAAAGAAGAAGAAGAAGAAAGGGTCTTTCTCTGCAAGAAAATCATTAGTCACATCCTTTTTTGAAACCTCTTTAAATAATCCTTATAGCCCATTAATCTCCTCGATTTCCCATTCCAGGTAACCAGAAAAAACCGAGTCTTTAATTTTATTTTTTAGCCGGCCGAGTTGACTCGCTATGACTCGCCAGGGGATTCTTCTGCGATCACCTTCTTCGAACCGAAGGATGCAGCCTTTGTTGACAGAAGCGACAGGGTCAAAAATGGTACCAACAGGAGAGGGGAGGGAGAAGAATTTGGCAAGGACGAAAACGCAGAGTTTTGGTGAGGTGGCAGGTGGCACGGCAGCGGTGTGTTGCTGCTGTCCATGCACGGTGATAAACCTACTTGTTTTAGCCGTTTATAAGGTGCCGGCTTGTTTATGCAAGAAAGCCAAGACACGACACCGTTTGAGAAAAAAGAAGCAGAAAGAAAGGTCCCTGTTATCTCCCAGTAGCGGTGGGTCCAGGGAGGAGGAATTACAGTCAGAGAAGAAGGCTACAGAGGTTGTGGAGAAAGGGATATGTTGTGATCAGCATGATCATAATCATGATGAAGAAACTGAAGCCGCTGATTTGGAGAAGCAAATGTGGGACCAGTTTTACAATACTGGGTTTTGGAGGAGCCCATCTCAAAGAGGTACATGATGGATGCTGCAAGACTGGTGTCTGGTATAAAATAATGGGTCTCGAGATTGTGCTTCGGTGGTGGTAAAGGGTGCAAATGCGGGGTGTTTTGAACTTGATAGCGATGGATTGGATTTGTACTTTGAAAGGAAGTGTACAACTGCAAATTGGTTTTTGTGTGTGGTCCAAGGCGAGTTCGTCAAGATTAATTTCTGTGGGCCTTCGTGTAAGAACATACTGAGTTCTTCTGACAATGGAGATGTATTGCATCATGCAATGTGGAGATGTCCTTGTATTGTCTTTCTGTTGGATAATTGGCGTGGACTGGGGTGGTGAGAGAAAAAATTACACATTGGATAGTTTTTCCATAATTATTCTTTTTTGGGTTCGTGGGATATGATGCTTTTTGTGATTTGGGATGGGGATTTGAGGGTAGATTGAGTGAGAACCTTACATAGAAGGGAATCTAATTCCATGATCACCAGACGCCTTCGCTTCCTAATTGTAAATCTGGTGTTCGTTTATAGTTTTTTGCCCTTTTATGTTCATTTTATTTCTGGGTTTTGGCTGTTTTTATGTCGGATGTGGAATTGAACAACCTTGATTTGCTTGATTTTGAAGAAAATGATTTTCGGGAAAGTGGAACAAGTATGGAACTCGTAGGCAGTAATTCTAACTTGGACTAGAGAGAACACTTGATAATTGAATCTAATATCTCAGAGTTATTTTTGGTCCGAGAAGAAGACCAAGGTCATAGTTACAACCGAGATTGGTTCGGGGTGAAGAAAAAACCAGACAAAAAATTCATCTAGATTGGTTCAGGTTGAAGAAAAAACGAGAGGATCAGTTGATCTATTGTGGCCAACAATATTGTCATGGAGTTTTTCAAATATGTGACTTGTGATGGGGATTTTCCACCTCATAATGTGAACTCAATAATTTCATGAATTTATTCCTCCAACTATCCCAATTTCAAGATTCCTGTTGAATTGATGGATATGCTGAAGCTGAAACAAAGTGTGAGCCTCCTATTTATTTATTTCTTGGAAGTTGAAGAAGCATAAATAGAGGGTCAAGTGTCAGCATAAATTATGCTTTATGGGACGATGTATCAGTGTCAAATTGGCTTCCTTATCTTCTTGTTGGGAAACCCAGATTCGACCTTGCTTGCTTCCACTTTTAAAAGCTGCCGAGTGTGTTTTTTTTTTTTATTTTAAATATTGTGGTTAAAGATTTTTTTAAAAATATTTTTAATTTAAAAATATATTAAAATAAATTTTTATATAATTTTATTTTATTTTACAGATCTTTAATTCAAAATCATCAAACAAAAAATAAAAATAAAAAATATTTTTAAAACATGCTACAGAAAAAATAAAAACCACCATATTATCGAATATCCTCAGGGCAGGGCACTTGTGATTTGGAATTTGAAGGTATGGAATTCAAAAGTTTTGGCACAGTTTGGGAATGCAATGAAAACTGTATTTTTTAAAAAATTATTTTAAAAAATTAATATATTTTAAAATATTTTGATGTGTTAATATTAAAAATAGGTTTTTAAAAATAAAAAAAATATTAATTTATATTTTAATATAAAAAATTATTTAAAAAGTAATTACAATGACATTGATGATATAATAATGAATTGAAATCCATGATTGAATTTTTATAATAAACGACCTGGATTAATGGGGGATGAAATTCCAATTGGAAAGTTTTGCTAGCATGATTAATTTTTTAAAAATCTAATAGAAATATTAATATTACGAGTATAAGAATTAAATCATTCTATTTATAGTAATTAACATATCAGAAGAATTAAGTATACTTGTTAATCAAATCTTATAGTATTTTGAACCAACAAAAAACTTGAATCATTAGATTGTTGAGTAAATTCATGACGATGGAGATAAACCTTGTTAATTTTTTTTAATTAAAATAATATTATTTTGCATTAAAAAAATAATTGGTGTTGATCCTATTGAATATTTGACCTTGTCATGAATTAATTAATTAATCCATTGAGTTATTTAAGTTTTGCCAAATTAATGTTAAAATTTATTTAAACTAAAACATGATATAAATCAAGTTTTTAATCACAAATTTTCCGGATCTATTAGTTGATTTGGATAAAAATTAATAATTTTTTGTTGGTGAGTTATTTTCTTTTAGGTCTTACATTCCTCTCTTGTTAATTCAATTTTCCTATATAGTTGTCGTAATATTTTGCCAGGCCAAACCATTACTTAGTTACTTAAACTTTTTATTAATCATATATAATCCACTTTCTTTTTGTAACTATTTTTATACTAATAAGGAAGTACTGCAAAATTAATTTACTAAAAATGACGTGCACAGCATTATTAATTGCATCTCTAAATATTTTTGCAGAGTCAAATATGATTAAAAAAATGGGCATGTTAATTTTCGAAAGGCTGTTGACTCGAGAGAACAAGGTGTCTGCTCGAGAAAGGTCCTTGAAATCATCGAGTTTAAGCTCGAATTTTTATTCGGAAATTATTTTAAAAACAATCCCCACTCCCTACCCCACGGTTTATTGATTCAAGATGTTCTCTGTAAATTTGACGAGACATTGTCTCTGCAATATTATGTTATATTTAAACCCAGAAAAATATGTCATAATCTTTACCCCACCTCAATAATTATTATTATTATTATTTTTAATTCAATAATAAAAAATGATCGAATCAATTTCACACATCAATCAATCTAGATTAAAACTTCAATTTTAATAATTTTAAAAACACACCTTGTATCGTTTTTATCCATGTTCAACATTCATTCAGGTGCTGGATCGGGCAATTTCAAGTGTGCAGGTATCGTAAAACATGGGCTAATATTGAATATCCAATAATTAAACACTTCATATATTTGTTTTGGTCTTTTTAATAAATTAATTATATATTTTTTGTGGTCTTTTTAATACAAATATTAAATTCAATCGTAATTTTAATTAAACACTTTAATTTATTCAAAAATAATCTTAAATAAACATATATTTTAATCAAAACGAAAACTATTTTTTTAAAATTTATATTTTTTTAAATCACAAAAATAAAAACTAGTCGATTGAAACACAGTTGAAACTTGATCCGAACCACGCATAAAAAAAACATATATTTGTTAATTGCTTTTCAATAACTAAGGTTCAACCTCAGTTTCAACTTCCAAATGTTTACCAAACACCATGAAACACGAGTTAGGGACAAACCCCATGTTGTTGTGCTGCAACCCCAAACAATCACTTCAGGTCAGTAGAGTTGGAGGGTAGGGTAAGGGCATTGAGTGCATGCTGAGAGAAAGGTTTTGTAAAGAAATGCAACGAGAGAGAATGGTGAATTATACCATGGGAGACGGGGTCAATTATTTTCTTTCAACCCGAAGGTTTTTTTTGTAGGCAGGCTTTTCCCATTTGGGACCTCCTAGTGATTGATGTTGGAGAAAAGGCATGGTGGGATTTCGTCTCAAGCTTCAGATTGCTTGTTTGCTGAGCACTCAACTAAAAGGAAGAAGCTTTAGTGCTGAAGAAGTTTTTTAGCTATGCTAAAAACTGGAGGAGTATTCTGGTTTGGTTTGCCAATTGTCGCATATGGAGGAGGAAGCATTGGAAGGCACTCTTTCATTGTCCTTTTGTTTTGGATGAATAAAAATTGCACCATGATTCTTTAAGGAGATCAAATGAATTAGCTTAAACAAGAAATCTTAGCTCCCATGTCGTGTTTGCTTTTAAAAAACATCATAGCAACTTTTTTTTTATAATTATAATATATTTTTAAATTAAAATTCAATAACAAACAAACATGTCGGGACCGTAGTTTGGAAGGATAAAACAGCCATGCACGGACGCGGGTTCCTGGGGAAAAAATATTTTAGGAGGAAAGGAAAATAAATCACATCACATCCTTCACTTTTATGACAACTAAGATGCTACGAGCCATGTCAGGAGTAGTATCCAGAGCCCAGCCCAGAATCATCATCATCATCATGCAACACTTGATCACCAGGGGCCCACATCATCAAAAATCGTTGCTTTCATTTCCCGGCAAGACTAGTTGTCAGTATTCAGTCTGATAAAACTCTCCGAAAAACCCTAATTCACCCTTTTACCTCAACCACTTCCACCACAACCTGCACTCAAAAACCACCCCCTCCCCTCCCTCCACCTCTTTCTAAAATTGAACAAAATGCCATCTCTGAATTACCCGCATGTAAAATTTTATTTATTTTGCTTCTCAAATTTAGTTCTCTGTCAGATTCAATCAAAACTCATCTCTTGAAATTAACTCCTTTGTTAAAAGTTTCAATCTTTTCAATTTTCACCATTGAAGTTCGCTCCCCTTTTCCTCCAGTTTTAACAATTTTCTACTTCTTCAAATTCAATCAAAACCCATCTCTTAAAACTAAACAGTTGTCAGAAACATTCTATTTTGGCCTCCAAATTCTTCACTTTTTTCTCTCTATCTTATTCTTGTTCTCTAACTAGAAAACTCACATTACGATTTGAGAATGAGCCTGGGAATTTTCAACTTCATATACATTAGTTGATTTTTTGTGTTTTGGTTTTTTTGGTTGTTGATGCTTCAATGGCAGAGGATAGGAATGGGGATCGAAGTGAAGAGAGTGATTACACATCAGAAGATGAGGGGACGGAGGATTATAGGAGAGGAGGGTACCATGCTGTGAGAATCGGTGATACATTCAAGAATGGGAGGTATGTGGTGCAAAGCAAGCTTGGTTGGGGTCATTTCTCTACGGTTTGGCTCGCTTGGGACACTCAGGGATCGGTATGTTTAATGGCTTTATTAGATAATTTCATGATTCAGGAAATTCACATTCGTGTTTATTGTTTAACTCTTTAACAACATGAGAAATTCATTGTTTGTAGCGTTATGTAGCTTTGAAAGTTCAAAAGAGCGCTCAACACTACACCGAGGCAGCCATGGATGAGATAAAGATCCTTAAACAGATTGCCGAGGGAGACCCTGATGATAAAAAGTGTGTTGTCAAGCTTTTGGATCATTTCAAGCATTCAGGGCCTAATGGACAACACGTTTGTATGGTTTTTGAGTACTTGGGAGATAACCTCTTGACCCTTATCAAGTACAGTGATTACCGAGGGGTTCCTCTACACATGGCAAAAGAGATATGCTTTCATATATTAGTGGGTTTGGATTACTTGCATCGCCAACTCTCAATCATCCACACTGATTTGAAGCCAGAAAATGTCCTGCTTTTGTCAATGATTGATACATCAAAAGATCACAGCAAATCAGGTGCTCCTCTTATCCTTCCAACCAGCAAGAACAAAATCGTGGCTGAATCTAGTTCCTCCAAAGAAATCAAGAGTTTGAATGGGGATTTGACAAGGAACCAAAAGAAGAAAATTCGAAAGAAGGCTAAGAAGGCAGCTCAAAGTTGTGCGCAGAAAGAAGCTTCTTTGGAAAACGATGCTGATCCCAAACCAACTAGTCCTGAAGATTCTAATGTTGATGCAAAATCAAATGATGATTCTGTCGATGAAAAATCAAATGGTTCTGTGATTAAA